ACATGATCTTAAAAATAATTCTATTCAATTTAAAAAAAATTAGATATACAACTCAATTAAGAAGCAGTTATGGAAATTGAACAATAAGCTTTGAATTCTATATAGTAAAATTAATGATGATTTACAAGACAATTCCAAATGTACGTAAGAAGAAATTTATTATAAATTAAATATCATTCCAAAATATAATCATAACTTTTAGCATAAAATAAATTATAACACAAAATAACTTATAATGTAAATATTAATCAATCAAAATGGACATAGTGAATACAGAGAAAACCTTGAAAATATTTATCATTGGAGTTACAGCTAATAATCATTATAAAAAATATAATATTGACAATTATCCAGGTAATTATTTTAAGAATAATCAATATAAAAATAAAAATGAATATAATTATTACAATAATAAAAATCATAATCATAAAAATTTACATGATAAAAATAAAACTTGTAATAAAATTATGGAAATAAAATATGTAAAACCAATTGATTTAGAAAAAATACCTGATTTATTTGTCGATGATGATTCTGATCGTTATCAAAAATGGAAAAACGCTAATTGGATGAATTGGGAAATTTTTAAGGAACTTAAAATACCTGAATATAAATCGTATTAATCTAAATAAAAAAATTATAACTAAAAATTTAGTAGTAATTTCAAGACAATTTATATATCAAAATAAAATAGAATCTTATAAATTAAAACATATATAATATGATGAAATTTAAAGAAATACTTGTAATTGAAGAAATTAAGGATACAAATAATATTAAAAGTGATAAAAAAATTAGGAATAAATTTTGAAGATAGCAAAACTTAAATCGTACTTAAAGGATGATACTTTTAAGAATAAGAATATTATAAAGAGGGGCAATGTCAAACTAAACAAACATCTTAATTTCAGAAAAATTTTTAAAGGTGAGATAAGGAGATCATTTTTTAAAAATTTGAGGCTTATTTTTTTATAAAAATGAATGATGATCTGAAGAAGAATTATTACATTAAGACACTTTTTAAATAGAAGAACAAGGGTGTGAAATTCAAACTTTTTTTAAAGAGAGGGAAATGTGCTTAATAATATTTTATTTGCATATTTTAACCTCATGGATTGAAATTATTATTAATATAAACATAAACAAAAAAAAAATTTAAAAAAAAATGATTAAACGAGAAAATTAAATATTAAAAAAATATGATATAATAATCTTATTGATTTATCATTCCAATATTCAATTTGATTCTATTCCATATATTATTCCGATAATTTATTTATTCTAATATCCAATATGATCAATTATTATACCTAATTATTCATACCTAATTGATGATGATAATAATTTTGAAAATTGATGATGATAACAACGGAGTACGACAAGCAAGCTTATATGATGGAAATGCGATCGATGAAAACAACTTACGATAAGGATAACAAGCTAACGATTTGGACCAACCAACGTATAATCTTTGGACAAACCAACGTAGAAAATCAAATGCAATGTAGAACCTCTAAAACGATGCACATTTGGACAACAGGCTCTCAATGATAGCTTACATGAAACTATGGGGAAAGCTTCTTAGAAGAGGAAGAATGTTATAGAATAGGAATATTAATAAATTAAAATATTGATTAATTATATATTTGGTCATTAAATAGTAATAAGTTGAATTTCATTTATTCATTAAATTATCTTTATTCGATTTACCTCATTAATATTATTTGTATATTCTTAATGTTAAACTTATTTTTGTGTTTTATTTAACCTTAGTGTTAACTTATTCATTCAAATTAAACAAGATATATAGATCCAAAACACTTTTAACTTTTAGACTTATAATTTTTAGTTATTTAAAAATATCACCTGTAGTTTTACATCGTGTACATAGTAAGCCATTACTTATCAATATGAATTTTTAATTATAATGGTAATGTATGTATTAATAGTTCAATGAACGTAATATTTATTATTATTTTTGTTATCTGATTACACACGTAAAAATGGATAATTTTTTAGTTATATAATATGTATAGTGGAATTTAAAATAAAATAATCATATTTTTAGTTGCTTTTTAAATACGAATTAGTATTATTTCAAGATAATACTTATCTCAGGATAATACAAATATGTCGCAATCTATTAAAACCCTAAGAGATTCAAACCTGTGCTACAGTGACTGGTATGACCTATTTATAAAATTTAAAAACACAACCAATTTTAAAATCATCACAAGAAAACAATTGGATGTAATACTTACAAAATACTGGCAAATTAATGTGCACCTGATAGTCCAAGAAAATAGATTCATTATTTTAGATAATCAAATTTTTCAAATAATTTATCATTACATTGTCTTTTGGCCTACTTAACATTGTGCCAAAACTAAATTATCTTTCAATTAGAGCTGAATTATATTTATAAAAAATTTTCTTAATGAAAGGATATTTTAAGCTTTACAATGTATTTCAACTTTCTTTAATATAATTTAAAACCTCCAGTTCAATGTTATTTATATTATTAAACTCAGAAAAATTTTCTTCACTAAGAGAAAAATAATCATCATTTTCTTTATTAGATGTTAAATCTATCGGTGTTATAGTTTGAACTTGTAAATACTCTGGTTCTACATTTAGGGGTTCTTTCATTAATATATTTTGAAAGTATTTGCTTTTATCATCTGACTCAATCCATTAAAATATGGATGTGATATGATGTCAAAAAAGCCTCATTATATTCAAATCATAAGAAATTTTCTTAAAATCTATTGCCCATGCCACCTTATTAGACAGCTTTTAATAAAGGTAACAATATTGTAAACTTGAATATTTAAGATAACCTATGCCCCTTTTAACCACACATAAATAATATACTTAAATATGTTTAACAAAATTTGTGTTTAACCATTTATCATTTTTTTGTTTATACAGGTTTTACATCTAGCCTGTACGTTGTCTCTTTTAACTTTTATTTTTAAAAAATTTCCATATAAAATTTTAAGTTGGATTTGATTCGCGGGAACTTATTTCCTTAATTTAAATTTTACTACCATAAATGTTAATCATTCACAAATTAAAAAAATGTTACATAAAATTGGAATGATATTCATCGAGTTACATTTATATATCAAATATAATCTTTATTTCGTTTTGGTGTTGTTATTTTTTTTAGCTATCTTACTTGATATGAATTGTAAATTTTTCAGCTAATTTTTATTGTCATTATATTTAAAATATGGTGAAAAAAAATAAGAAAATTAATATAAAATTCTCGAAGAAAATAAGATATATACTGTGATATGTAAAATTTTAAGCATGAATATTAAAAAGAATCTGTATCTGTATCTTTTGTAAAGAAAATGAAAATAATAGATACTTTTCAGAATAAAGGATCTTAGATACAGATACTAGTATCTTTATTAAAAATGTAAAAAAGATACAGATACAAGTATTCGCGGTACTGCCCAATACTGGCTACTATAATGATTAGACACTAATAAAGCACATAATAATAGCAAAATTTAAAAATTGGGTTTGCGAGCCCCCCCCCCCCCAAAAAAAAAATTTCAACCCACCCCCCAACGCCACTAAACACATCTGAAACTGATTTACGAATTCCTTGCAATAAATTTTGAATTCCTTATGCACGAAGACTCATTGGAGTGATATTCATTGAATTAAAAACTCTAATTAATATATTATTCACACACTCATTGGAGTGATATTCATTGAATTAAAAACTCTAATTAATATATTATTCACACTCACCATAGACTTTCTAAACAAATTATAAGCGTTATCCATAGTAATAGGATACGGAGGCATTTATTTCTTAACATTTCGATTATCTAACCACTTAAATTACTAGTGTATTTGATAATTACCCATAATAAAATAATCACAATAAAGATTTTGATAAAAAATCTTGTTTTCTGTATTTTTCTAAGTTTAAATAAAAAGGAAAATATTGATATATATATACCTAGGTAATCTGAATTCCAATAGGATATTTTTTTCCCTGACGCCAAGAGTCTAAGCACGACCCTTATTCCTCTAAACAAGCTGATTCTTTCACAAATGTCATATTTATTATCCCATTATGAATATAATGATAAATTAACAGCTATATATGCTTTTCACCTAACTTCAGAATGTTTATTGGATTCTCTTATAATTGATCCTTTTATTATACTTTATAATTCATGTTATTATTTTTTTTATTAGCTCATAATGTAAGAAATATTAAAAATCCTGTATATTATCATTAAAAAATTTTATATTATTTTCGCAAAAAATGTAAAAAAAACATTTTAACTATTGGCCAGGAACGACTGAATGGTTTATCACTTATGAGCGCTAAGTTTTTTTTATTAAATAATATTTGAATGGATTCCATTAATGATAAGTATTCTAGTACTCGTATATCTTGTAAATAGAAATAAGTTGGGGTTGTAACTCAAAAATACTCATCAAAGTTTCGAAAAACAACAAATAAGCCTTTTTAGAGAAAATTAAAAACATAGTTAAAACATTATTTTAAATTTCAAAGCTTTAACATTATGTTTTTTTCTTTAAAGTTTTAAAAGTTCTGTAATAAGTTTTAGATGTTGCCTTAACAAATAATTTCTTTTAAAGATTAGAAGCAAAAAATTAAGAAAATATTGATTAATGACACCCTTGACTTACTATAAATATAAAGAGCCTATTATTTTTTAACGTAGTAAAAAAAAATAATCTTTAATGTAATATAAAAATAATTATTTAAGAATTTTTTAAGAAAAATTTAGAGGAAATCAATACTTCCCTAGCTTTTATGGATCATAATATAAGATGAGCACAAATGAACTGCCTTGGATTCATAATATTAGGGCAAAATGTTTAAAAACTTTATAAAAAATTCAGATATTTAATAATTTATTTTGTTAGACTCATATACAATATAGGTAAATTAAGACAATAAATTAAAATAATGATAAAATTTATAAACGAAGGATGAAATGTATAAAAAATAAATTGGACGGGTTGTTTATAATTATTTAACAAGAAATGTTTTTCTATATTCCATGTATTGACTAAATATATAGGAGTAAATTACATGATAGTAATGTGGACTGATATAAGTCAAGACCTAGGATAAAATACAAACATTATTTGACGTTTTACATAATGTTGATTAAGTTCTTTAAGCGCTATTTTCAATATTCATAAGTTATAATTAATATAACCGGTAAAATATAAAAAAATTTTTTTATATTAAAGTCGTATTCCTATTTGTTCTAATTAAAAGTTTAATATGTAATATTAATAGAGCATGTCATAGGCGTAGCCAAGAGTGAGGGATAAGAAGAAATCCCCCCCCCCTTCAACTTGCCTGTTCTCGTAAATATTATTTTACGCTAATAAAAATCCCCCCCCCCCACCTATTCCAAAATGTATACAATATTGAAATAAAAATCAGTAAAAGTTAATAACTTTTAAAATAACAACTATAATTCAAAATTTTTAGAAATAAAATTTTTTTTAAAAAAAAATGAAACCCTAAAATAATTTTATAAAAACCGAAAATAGCCAAACGACTATAATAAGTGAACATAAAGACCTCCAATAAAACTTAACACACCTAACCCCCCCCCCCCACCCTCGCTTTAATAAAGTCCTGGCTACGTCTATGCATGAAATAATTATTTAAATAATTTTTTAATAATTTAAGATTTTTTGTGAAACAGGAAAAAAAACTTTTTTATCAAGATTTTATAGGATTATTATCTTTAGGTGTTTTAGAAGTGGCGTAATTAAAGTAAGTAGTAGCAGCTTTTTTGTTTCCAGATTGTAACAACAAATTGACATAACTTATACATAATTCTTCGAATTGTAGGTGCTATATTTAAAACAAAAAAATATATTATGAAATATTATATTATTATTATAATGGTAAAGGAAAATCAATTTAAGTGGTTATAACTTTCAACCGTCATTAATAATAAATTCTGATGGAATCGTGCAAAATGTAGGAAATTTATTATGAAATGAAGGTGACTTGTGTTAAAATTTTAGTTTAAGTGCTCATCTTGATTAAGATTACTCTAAAACGTGGCTTTAAGAGCTAAGATAAAATAAGGTTAAAATTTTGTTTAGATTTTTGGAAGATCAACAAAAAGCATCTTGTTGGGCAATAAAAATCTGAAAAGAGGAAATTTAATTTAAACAAATGTTTGGTCAAAAGGCGACCGTGTCATAATAATTTTAAAAAATATTAGGGCAGTGAATAAGAGATAAGGTGAAGAATTCCAGTAGCTACAATCCGAATGTGTAAACATAAATATCAATTTAAGAGGGTAATATTTTATTTAAAAAAACAAATTTTCACAAATTTTTCATTTACAAATTATAATTAAAAATGTATATTAAAAAACAAATAATATATTAAAAATGAATTAAAAAATATATATGTATAAAAGAGAAATGAGATAAAAAAAATAAAATTTTTAAAAAAGGTAGAAATCACCCTAGAGAAGAGTGAATGCTTAAAAAATTGGACCGGGTAAAATCCTTCATTGGGGTCCCCTGAGATCTGCCTCATTTTATTTCCTATAGTTTTGATGAAATTGAGAGCATCACTTCCATACATGCCTAGGGTATTGGTAACGATTGGGATAAACACGGTATTGGTGAGGCAAATATATTTGTTTTTTTAGGATTTCTGTCTTTTCGATGGCAGAAAATGAGAGGTTGGACTTGGCGGCAAAATCGACACAGGTATAGCCCCAAGCTAGTGGGAGACCATTGATCCAGGGAATGAGAGATATGCCATCGGGGCGTATGGCGTTTTCGTTTGAGAGGCCCATTGGTTCGAGGGTGGATGGAATATTAACTTTTTTAAGAGCAGCTAGTAAGATGTTGTTAATAGATTTATGACGCGGTTGTCGTCCATGGGAGAACTTGCAGTGCAAGGGATTGTAAGCTTTCGATTCGATGGGATGGCCATAGTCGATGCAAATTGAGGGAACCACGGCATTACAGCCAAGGCGGAGGGCTATGGAAATGCGTAGCTGTTCACAGGTCAAGAGGAGGCCAAGATTGGAACTGGGGATGGCTTCCAGCCATTCGTAACCTGAGCTTGCATATAATAAAATTAATGAGATTGTCCTCAAAGGGACTGTTCGAAATAAGGTATTCAACGGAACGGGCGATCAGAGGAGCATCCCAGTCTTTCTGAATGCTGGAAACCGGACGACAGAGGGTGGGTGAGCAGTTGCTGTCCCAAAAGGTGAAAGCCTGCAAGAGGTCAGTATCTGATGGAGTGGATCCATTATCGATGATAGGTTGTGCAGCAAGACGAGATGAGATAAATACTAAGAGGGAAAGTTGTATCGGGGATCGGATACCAATACCACCAGACTTGTTGGGAAGGGTGGCCTGAAACCAAGATGAATTGGAAAATTTAAGGTTTGATATGTTTTCAAGAAGACCCTTAATTTGGGTTTCATAAGAAACGAGCAAGTCGCGGCATTTAAAGATCGGAGAGGATCTCAGGGCGTAAAGGATTTTAGGTATGTTGAAATAATTTTTTATTAAAAAAAAGATTGATGGGTTGGGAGGTAATTAAATAATATATTTAATTTGGATAAATTGTTAAGGGATTTGTTTAAAATTGTATCGATAGCCTTTTCACCTCCTATGGGTGATCCGAGGTGTGTCATCTCATCTCTGTGAATGACGTGATATGCCATGTCTGAAGGGATAGAAGTGGGATTTAGGAAGCAAATCTCACATTTGGGAAGGTTGAGAGATAGTCCGGTTATATGAGAGAGATTCTCAATGATGAGGGGGATGGACATAATTGAGGAGAGGTTGCCCGAAACAATGCCATCTTCAAGATACCAGGAATTTAAGGTAAGGTTAGATTTAGATTGAATTTCCTGGATTATCTTGTGGATCCCCATGCAAAAGAGGGCTGGGCCTAAGGGGTCACCTTGCTGAATTCCCTCTTGAGATACGATTATTTTTTTATTGAATTTTAAAAAAGTATGGCTCGAATAGCTGTGGAGGATGTAAGTAGAGTATTCGGGATATTGGTTGCAAAATAGAGGAACGAAATATTATTTCTTCTTTTTTACAAAAATTTATTCTGTAATTGTATTTTAAGATTTAAAAGTTTTTAAGCAATTTTTTTTCTCAACTTATAAAAATCTAATTAATTACCAATAGAAGACTCCTAAAAATATGAATTTTTAATCACATATTTACCTTAATGTTTTTCCTTAAACAAAAATAGAAGAACACAAATTTAGGTCCTCTTCAAGCAAGTTATAAAGCCAAAATGTTATCAAATACAGTGCACAATCAAATAGTTATTATTCTCTATATAAATCAGGCGATCAAATCCCAATTATACCGGATCCGCCAGTCTTTTGTGAACTTGATTTTTATACATCAATTCCTATACTCGGGAATTCCCAAAACAAAGACGTCTAGTTGTTCACTCATTAATGGCCCTCACTCAACAATAATTTCGATTTACTCACAATATAGCCCGTTCATCCTTTCGGGCGTGTAGTCAGAAATTTTTTATGGGGGTGAGGGAGGGTGTGTAATTTTTTTATATTAAATGGTTGTTCTGGAATATTAAAAATTTGTTAATCATATAAAATTTATTCGAACCGATCATATTAAAATGACAATTTCAAACACAAATAATAAATATTGGAAAAACAAAATATTTTAGAGCGATATAATTGTTAGCCATATAGCCCAGTATGTAAATCACCATAAAACATGAATTAAACATTAATATGAAGAAGTTAATCAAAATATCATTCATGAATGAAAATTTAAATTTTTTTACGATTGCGCTAATTTTTCAATAATTTGTTTTGTAATTGAGGCTTAAATCCCTATTAATATTAGGTAATGCTAGTTCATTCAATCGATTTTCCGACATAATTCTTAAATAAGTATCCCCTCATTTATACTTGTACTAATGGGTAATGTTACCAAAATATACAGTAATAGATTTGGAAAAGGTTACATATATTTTAAAGTATGCAATGCTTCCATTGCATTTCTTGGAGAATTATTCATTAAAATTAATCTTTCATACCAAGATTTAAATTCGGAAATTAATTAACCATCAGGTACATTTATAACCTATGAATAAAATTGAGCAAAATATTTAATTGCATAATCAAGATTTATTATATCCTGTCAATATTATCCTTTAATTTTTTAAGTTTAAATATAATAATATTCGTGTAACCACAGTTAAATCCATATCATTTTTTAGATAAATATTGCATAAAATTGGTCTGTAATTAAATAATTCATTAATACATACCAATGCGAAAAAAAATCGGCTGTCCTATTAAATCTAATAGTAATATCTATTTTAGACCAACAAGGGAAATTAAAATAGGCTCTTCTAGATTTAAAAAAGCTGTAACAGTTTGATGCTAAGGGTTCATCGTGTCTGGCATGCATTTTACAGTTTTTTTCTTGTAGCACAAGAAGTCTTAAAAATAATTATATTAAAATTTCTAATGATTACTAACTGTAATGTATTTAAAGAAATTGATTTTTATATTTGCTTTAAGCTACAATTTATTATAATAGATAAAAATAGAAAAACATACATTATATATATTTAATTATATGAAATAAATCACTTTATATTATTAATCTGAATACATTTCACTAACCTCCTCAAGACCTTATTTCTTCATTATCTATATTTTTAGATTGTTCATTTTGTTCAATAGTTTAAATTGCAATCAATGAGCAACAGATTGTGAAGATGAATAATCAGTTATAAAAATTTCTGATACCATTATTTGATTTTGGTTATATATATTTTATATTAAATTATATTACTTTTTGATAAAATATTCTTATATCCATCATCGTTAAGGTTTAAAAAAATGCAAAAAAACATTCGTGAAAAAAAAAATTAATACACATGAATAAAAATTAATTTGACTTTTTGCTAAAATTGAAAATAGAATATAACTTATTTGAAATAAAATACTTTGCATTTAGTAATTCATAAGGCCTTTTATATTTTAAAAAACTCTGGATAGGAGCCTGCCTCCTTCATAAATACCATTTAAACATTCCTAAGACAAATCATCAAATATTTTATCATGTGGGAGAGGGGGAGGTAAAACTGCTACACGTGATTCATATAACAGCGAAAATATGTGCATCCTTAAACTTAATTTATAGAACGAATTTCATCCATCGCAATTTGTTTATTCCGATTTTTCAAAAACTTTATTCCAAATATGCGAACTTAATTTCAAGAAAACTTTCTTCCCCGGCCATCCTAAATATAGAAATGTGACTATCTAACTCTATATTACCGCTGGCCTATCCTTCAAAGTTATCAACAACAAAAGTCTTCCTAAACACATCTCTACAATCTTTTTTTAAACTCAAACAAAAACTTTTTAATTTCTTTTTAATAAAACTTTAATTTTAAAATTATTCACGCATTCCGCTTAACTAAATGATAAAACATGAACATAAAATTAAAGATTATCTCAAAAAAATACTCAATGCTTTCTCTTCAAATAACCACAAGGATCCCCCATTAAAATCTGGAGGCCAAGGGATTCAATCCCTATTGTATACATTAATTGCCGCCTTAATTTGATCAAGACTCAACAGAGGTATTAATTTCAAATGTATGCACCCTCCCCGATCAACTATGAACTGATATTTAAATAAATGGTCAATCTCTTCTTGCCTTACTTCATGTTTACAAAAGGATTAAAATTTTCCTCTGATTAGACGTTCCGTGATCGAGACAATCCCTAATTAAAATCTCGAACCTTCATCTTTCAGAACAAATGAGGATTTCTATAGGAGTTTCATCTTTTGCCTGTTCTCTTTGTAATGCCCAGGTAGACGAATTTCCTCCATCATATTGCCAATTTTTGAAAATCACCCACCCCATGCATAGTACAATAAACTCCATGATAGCCAAGGCCATACAGTGAGCTTAAATACACCGGAGGCAAAAATAAGGATGGATTAACCTTCATCCCACAAAAGAAAGATTTTCCTCCAGCATGGGATTGTATCTGCAATTTTTTTACCATGAAAACTGTCTTTCATTGGCATAAATCTTATAACAAATTTTTGTGCCTGTGGTCACTTCTATACTTGGCAACTTCGGGCAAATGGACCTATACTTTTTAAAAAAAAATAAAGTAACAATTATAAGCGGTCTCTGGTAGGATAAATTTTCTATCTCAAACAAAAAAAATAGGTTAGAAATATGTCGACCTAACCTACTTCCAATCAGAGGCACCCGCAGGAAATTTTCTCGGGGCGGGCAAATTTTATATATAAATGAGGCAAAATTAAGAGCCATTTTTCGTTAAAAAAGATTAACAAAATTAATAAGCTTCTATTGCTTTAATTAAAAATATAACATTTAATATAATGACGTACATTATTGGTTAATCGATATAAAAATCCTATAATAATTCATAAAATGAAATAAGGATAAAACTTCCAAACTATGAATCATTGTCATCCTTAAAATAAATATAATGATTGGTTAAAAGGTAAATTTAAATTAAATCTAAATTTTAGTTGGAATTTCCTTGATTTTTGCGAAAGTATTGATTTTCTTGTGATTCGATTGCGATGAATCTTAATATGCATAATTAAGCTAACCGATCGTAACGTATTGTTGAACGAAGATAGTTTTTGGCTCTTTTGATAGTGCTAAAACTTCCTTCTACTGAATACATGTCGTATAGGTAGTGAGAAGGCAATTAATGGTGCCCATTGATTGATTTTAAATATATGTTATCTTCCAGTACCTTGGAAATATTAATTTCGTGGAAATTAAACGATTGACACGAAATTTTAAATTCCGACCCAGGAAAATTGTTTCCTTGGATGAACATTAAAGATAAATGATACTATCAGAAGTATTACGATTGTTTTTCAAAATAATTTTTAAGACATCTATATGCCTCTTATCTTCAATAAAATTGATGGCATTTTCTAGAAGTTGGAAACTTACAGTTTCAGAAGAATTTAATTTTCTAGAAGAAGACAAAACTTTCAAATAATTCTTAATAATAATTATAAAAAAAATAACGTTAAATTTTTCAGGGAAGAGCAAGTGCCCCCAATTACCCACATCCATGTAGCTTATTTATTATTTTTATTTTATTAGCCTTTTCGTTATTTTAGATTTTTTTCTTTGATATTTTATATTATTTTTTAATTACTTAAAAAAATTTCCAATCAATTTCATCGTTTATTATTTTTTTAAAAAATATTTTTTCATTAATTATTCCATAACCATATAAAGAATACAATATATAAAAAAATAAATTTAGAATATTGTTAATAAAATTTTCAGTTAATTTAATTTAAATTCGTTTATTTCAGTAAATGACTGGAAACAAAGTTAGTGCAGAGTGTTCAAATTCTAAAAAAATGCATTTTCCAAAAACCTCATCAAAATAGTATTAGAAGATAAAAAAAATTTGCTTTTGTAAAATAAAAAATCCTATCAGAATTTCATAATCTAAGGAAATATTTGAAATAGACAGTTGAATTATGCTAATTCTATCCTATTCATATAAATCTCTTGACCATATTTCCCTATTTAATAAAAAACTTATTTTACTCATTTTAAAATTTAAAACAAAAGAAAGCTTATTGTGATGGTTTATCAAATAATCATATATAACTTCATCATCTTGACTTTCGAATATGTTTATACCGAATTCTTTCAACCCTTTATACAATAGATATGCCATATCCCCTCTTTGTGCTTTAATGAGAGCCTGACATGCTTTGTAAAATGACCCAATGTGTAAATAAACCATAGAAGCCATCATCTTATATATAACAAAAAATGATTAAAAACTTTATACATATCCATTTCTAATATATATCATTAAGGGAATGAGATTTCAATTTTGCTAAACCGAAATCAGTAAAACACATATTTCACCCGAAAAAACGTTGGGTGGGTTGAATTAAAATAAATATTGGTAATATTAATTTTTTTATCATTAAATAAAGTATTCATTTGATTTTAATCTTCAAAATAGATTATGAGCAAAATAAAAATAAATTTGATCACTTTTTAAAATGTAGCTTTGTGGCAAAATAAATATTAAAAAATTTTCAAATAAATATTTAAACATATAATATTTTTAATTTTTTCAAGAGTCAAATAATTTTTAAATAAAGTTAATTGGGAATTTTAATATTAAAATGAAAAGAGCAATTAAATCAAAAACATGTGTTTGGAGAAATGTATAGGATGAAAAAGTAAATTTATTAACTATCTTTTTGTACCAGAAACAGAAACAAATGACATTTTGTAAAAAATCAAAAAAATGGGCGCCCTGGCTAAACTGGTAACCGTATATTAAGGTGACATTATTAATTATATTTATCGTAATTTTTTTTAATTAACTTTAAAACTCATTAAATATAAGAGGAGACTAAGGTAAACAAAATATTCGACTTATCTGTACTAAATGGATCGCACTAAGTTCATTCTTTTAAATTATTATCTCTTATATATATATATATTTATTACTTACTAATATTACTAATGTAAAAAATTTACCAATGAACTGTTGGAGGTACGTTCCAAATGATTGGCCCACTTATCCACGATATAAATATAATCCTTTTCTGTCAACGTAAGCTAATAAATATAAATAATTTATTTTTTAAATATTATATATCGAATAACCTTAGCCAACCAAATAGACTTTTCCCAATACCCATAGGTTTGAAGATATAAACATGCATCGATGTATTTTCCGATACACCCCAACATGGATAGGCCATCTTTTCGGGAATTAATTAATGGATAAAATAAGATTAAAGTAAAAACAAGAGTTGTTACAAAATTTTTGAATTATCATTAATGACTAGGTTTTTAAAATTTCTTTATTATATATAGACATTGACACCACATTTATATTACAATATAATATATTAATATACATTAAATATAGGAAATTAAAGGATTAAATATTAATAAATAAACCCTATGGCAACCATGACAATTAAACAGGACCCGATGAGATAACCCGAATACTCTCGAAACATTGCATAACCTCGTATGGGATTATACTTGCGTAGATTATTTTGCCAGATCATTTTAGGTCAACGTCAAGAGAGCAGAAAATATAACACTTAAATAATTGTTCGGTCTGGTAGTTTTAGACACCTATAGATCATTTGGACCTCAAGCCATAAAATTATTCAAAACAACAGGGCAAATGTTATCTTTGATCGTAGGTGACCAAAAAAGGGTTTCTATTATGACAAAGAATATTGATCGAAATTTGATACCACAATATTTTGAATCAAATATTAAAATCGTTCAAATAATTTCACAAATTACTTAATATATTCAATAAATATGAATGAATAATTTCTTGTTACATAGTCATATTATTCTATAATTAAAAATAAACATAATAATAACTTCAATGTTATTTTAGTTTTTTTCTTCTCTCTTTAGCTTTAACCTTTTCTGGTGGTAAGCTCCTTCAATATCTCTTTTCACTTTATGTTATTCATACTATCTCTTTTATCTAATTTAATATTGGCTCTAACTTTATGGCCCTATTGAAGTTTTGGCCTTCCTCTTTTACGTTTACCCATCACTTCCAAACTCTAAACCTTATTTCCTATGTAGTTCATAGGCCCTCTCATTGTATGCCCATACCATCTAAGTCTGTTTACCATTATCTTAGTCTTAATGGACACTACCTTTAAACTTCCTAGTAATCTTGTACTTCGCACTTTATCCTTTCTTGCTAACCCAGCAATCATCCTCAGCATTCTCATCTCCATAGTTTGTAGAATTCTCTCGTCTGATTCTTTGGTTGGCCATTCCGAACTATATAGAATAGTTGGTTGTACTATGGAACTGTAAATTTTTCCCTTCAATTTGTGTAAGATTTTGTCAAAGAGCACTCCAGATAAAGATCTCCATTTTAACCACCCTTGATTAATTTTACTCTTTATCTCTTTCTCTATTGTGCCGTTTGTTTGTATAGTGGAGCCCAAATATTTGCTTCTATCATCATGTACTCCGTCTTTTCTCTATTTACTTTTAGTCCGTGCTTTTCTAGGATATTTATCCAGCTCACTAATCTTTCTTTCATTAATCACAATATATTCTGCAAATATCATATTCCACGGTAGTGTTTGAGGTATAGACTGCGCTAATACATCTATTACTGGTATGAAGAGAAGTGAGCTGAGAGCCGACCCTTGATGAACTCCCTCGGCTATTGTGAAGCCTGTTGAAGGTTGTGCTACGGACCATTGTTGTATGGCTCATATATATATCCTGTATTATTCTTATATATTTTTCGGGAATATTTTTGTGGCGTAGCGCCCACCACATAAGTTTTCATGGGATTCTATCGAAGGCCTTTTCTAGATCGAGAAAGACCATGTGTAGCTTTCTTTTCCCTGTATTTTTCACTCATTTGCCTAATTGAGTGGATACCATCAGTTGTTGATCTTCCAGGCATAAAGCCAAACTGAGTCTCTCCTATTTCGATTATCTCTTAACCTTTTTTCTATTATTTTTTCGTAGAGTTTGACCCTGTGACATTAGTTTTATGCCCCTGTAATTATGACAATTGTGTGGATCCCCTTTATTTTTGAAGATAGGAACTAGATAGTTCTGCCTCCATTTTTGAAGGGTCTCTTCATTACCCAGTATTTTATTGTATAGATTTGTGAGGAGATGTATTCCATCATCTCCTAGTGCTTTAAGGCTTTCTATTGGAATATCATCTGGACCCCTAGCTTTGTTGTTTTTCATATGCTAGAGGCATGTGATTATTTCTTGTTCTGTTATGGGTTGTGTAAGGTTTTGACAAGGGGAGTGTTCGTCTAGATGTAGTAAAGTTGAGAAGCTCCTGAAAATATTCTTTCCATCTATTCATTATTTCTTTTTCCTTTAATATCAATTTCCCATCTTTATTTTTGATTACTTTCGGAGCTCCGTTTATATCCCTAGAATTCTTTTCTCGCTGTTTGGCTAATCTGTATATTTTATCTTGCCCTTCTTTGGTATGTAGTTCTTCATACATGTCATCGTATGCCATAACTTTGGCCCTAGCCACCGCCTTTGTAGCTATTCTCTTGGATTTTTTGTAATTTGTCTTGTCATCTGGGTTTTTGGATTTGTACCATATTTTATATAGGGCTTTTTCTCCTTTATAGTGGTTTGTACATCTTTATTCCACTACCATAGTTCTTTGTATGATTTGTTGCCTCCTTTTGTCGAGCCCAGTGTCGATATGGCAGTGTCTATTAATCTGAATGAAAGATCTGTCCACATTTTTTCACTGACTTGTGAGGATTCTATTGTTTCAATGTTTGCATTGATTGCTAAGGCATCTGTCATTGATTTTAATCTACCCCATTTAATGCATGGTTCAAGTTTTATCTTGTTTTGAGTGGATTTATTTCTGATGTGTAAATCCATGACTAGTAGCTTGTGTTGCGCGGCAATCTTTTGGGATGACTTTGCAGTCTACTTCAGCGAGAGATAAGCATGTAATCTATCTGGGTTTTCCTTGCACCACTTTCATATGTTATTAATGACTGTCCTGTTTCCTATAATAGGTGTTGGTTAAGACAAGGTCGAAGGCTTGAGCAAATTTCAGTATATGCTCTCCTTCATCATTTCTTTATCTATATCCAAAACCACCATGATGCCATTTGTAGCTGCCTCTTGCTTTTCCCACATGTGCATTTAAGTCACCGCCTATTATGATTAGGCCATCCTTAGGGATTTCCATTACAGTTTCATCAAGGATAGCTCTAAAGTCATCTTTCGCTTCTTCCTTGCAACCCAATTGAGGAGCATACACTGAAAGGATGTGTAGATTGATTGACCAATGCAGTTTTATCTTCATTAATCTATCAGAGATCCTGTTGATTTCTACTACTGAGGAGGTTAGACCTTGACTGAGGATGATGCCGACACCGTTTTTATTGCTAAGAATTCCATTATAGTACAATTTATACTCATCTCCAAAAGTCTTCTGACCTTTTCATTACGTCTCTTGTATGCACGCTATGACAACTTTTCTCTTGTTCAACATTGATGCCAATTTTCTCGTCTTACCTTTGAGTGTCCCAATATTCAAACTTGCTTACCTTGTCTTCTTTGCTTTGATCTTTATTTTACTTTTCGCAGGATGGAGGTCTACACCCTGCGCGTCGCTTTGAGGGAACGCCCTAGCTTTCATATTCGTATCTTCATTTGTGTCCTTCATTTTTGTTTATTGGACAAGTATCCTTAGCATCCGGCTTTCCAAGCCTGTCGGTGACCGGGGTGTCATTTCTAAGTTCCAAAATTCATCTTACCATGTGTCTTTACACATCATTCATCGAAGAAAACCCCAAAGATTTTTACATTCCTTACCAGGATTGAACCATTTTTATTTTGCAATATAAAAACCATAAGTTTTTCAAAGAAGTATTTTACTTATAGTCCCAATATTAAATTAGGTAAAAACAAAAATATTTTTAAAATAACAAAAAAAAGGGACCGGTCCTGGAGCAATCATTTAATCAGGACCACAGTATGGATCGATTTTTTTAAAGACCATGGTCCGGTCCAATTGCATCAATCCGGTTTGGACCAGAGACCAGACCATGACCTTCACTACTAGTCATCATTGTTCATGCTTCTAAAATTTTCCTTATAACATGATTTTAACCTTGACATTTTTTTTATCATTCTGGCAATATTGGGTGTCTTTGAACTATCTATCAAACGAGTTGAAGCACTAAAAAAGTATGAAATACGCACTAATTATTGACATAAATATCAGACATAATGTTTCCAGATCTTTGGCTGACTTTACGCTTAAGGTTTGGCATCAAGTTTATAATTGGTTTGTAATTCGGTTACCTTATTTCTAACTGATGAAATTGATTACAGAATTAATAAGTTAGGAACGTAAATCAGAAAGTTACAACTTCTATATTCTCCATTCTGGCATGATGCTAGTTTTGACAATTTTTTGCCAATAATTCTTTTCGCCTTTAAACCATCTACCAAACAGAATAAAATAATAAAATGTACTAATAAAGAAAGCCCTATTTAATGATTTGGTTCAGAATTACTGTTATCAAAAATTTGGCTCACTATACGATTAAAGCGAGACGCCATAGTTTCATTTTGCTTATACCTCAGTTTCTTTTTGTGGGTTTCTTAATTGACTGAGGAATTAAAAATACTAGCCAGAAATATTAGGGTATGCCAAATATATAGCTTTTTATATTTTCCATTTCAGCATGATGCCCATTTTCTTTTTTCTGTACACTGTCTACCAAACCTAATAAATTAATATGCAATTAAGCACACAGATAAAATTTACAGAATAAATGTTTTCAGTTGCTTTTTTTTAAGATTGACCAAAATCATGTGACTAATAATTTTTTCCTTTATAATGTTACTATACTTGTTAAAGTCAATAATAAAGAAAACATTGCCAAATTTTAAACTTAACGCTTACAATTGTTCAGCCAACTTTAACGGAGATGAGATAAAGATAACTATGAAAAAATCAATAATGTAAAAAAAAATTATAGAAGAAACCCAGCCGAAGTCCGGGGGAAGTATTTCAACCTCCCCTCTACCATGGATAAATTCTGGTTGGGCCACTGACTAATACTAGGTGCATTTTTACATTTAGAAATATAAAAGGCAAACGTCGATCGTATAAAAATTATTTCATAATGTCCAGGATTTTGCTAAAGGGGGGAGCACTATTAGGTGAATTTTTCTTTATAAATTTTAATGGATATCTTATTAGATTTTTATAAAAAAAATAATTTTTTGTTTTCATTTTTTTATTAAAGCTGTTTTCTTAAAAATTTTGAATTATAGTCGTTATTTTAAATAGACATTAACTTTTATTTTAAAGTGAGGGAAGTAAGGGGTGGGGCGTATGTAGGGGAAACATTTTATTAGGTTACAATGATGTTTACGAGAACAGGCAAATTTGCGATGAGGGGTAATCCTCCCCCTCCCATGGTTACGTGCCTTATAGAGAGTTTGTGTAGCGTCTCGTTTTTCAATTTTTATTATATAATTTATAAATAAATTTTTTCCATGGGAAAACTTAATTAAAAAATTTAATGTGTTAATAGTAATAATAGTATTGTTTATTCTTAGATTTTTATTATTTTTAAAATAAGAGAAAAATCAGATATTATTTTATAGAAATATTATAAAATTAAGGAATGGGTTTACAATTTGAAGGAAAATAAAAGTGAATTTTTCTAGATATCAATTAAAAATAGTATGACAATTAGAGATCTGCAAAAGGGCCCGTACCCGGCTTCGGGCCGGGCCTAATATTTTTTAAGAAAATTCGGGTCGGGCCTTAAAATTATTTTAAAATATATCAAAATTTATCAATTTTATGTTGAATTTTTTATGTAAAATAAAAATATGTGATTTTATTGAAAGACGCCATATAACAAATATCGATTATTTTGAGTAATTATAAGAATTAATTTCTATATTTAAATAAATTCGGGTTGGGCCGGCAAAAATTTTTAAAAGAATTTCGGGCTCGGGCCGGGAAGAACATTATAAAAAAATTTCGGGACAGGCTTGAAAAAATATGCCCGATGCAGATCACTAATGACAATACAAAATTAACCTAATAATATTTTTCATTTACGATATAATAAAAAGTGCTTAGATAATCAATGTAGGAGAACATAAATAAATTTATTAACTGATAAGCAGGGATGTGAACTCTTCGACAAAAAAAAGGGTCCATGTCCGGGTTCGGGTATAGGAATAAAATTTGAAAGGACCCGGGTCCAGGGTTCGGGTTCAGGAAACATAAAAATAATGACTCAAAATAAGATTTTTTTTTATTCATTTATTATTATACTTCAATATATACATATTCATAATTTACAAATGAAAAATTTAAAAATGAAATAATTAATATTTCAATGTTTTATTCTCGCACAATCATAATATCTTCTAAAATATCATCCTTGAGATTTCCACTTAAAGTAGACAATATATATTTAAAAGATGAAAATTCAAGTTCCACCCTTACCTAAAATAGATAGTTATCTTTATAAAATTATTATTCTTGTGTCGCCAGTACAGCCATAACGATTCTAAACAAGATATATAATTCTGGATATATTGAAGAATTTTCTTCCCAGAATTTAAAATATTTAAAACTTTTCTATTTATGATGCAATCGGCATTTTTTGATCCTCCCTTTTATCTGATTTCTTTTTCTCTATCTAAAAGTAAAATTTCGAGATCATCAATGTTGCTATCATTATTATTATCACTACTACCAATAGATACTGTCGTAGCCTCTAATATATTGTAAATAATGGAGTTTTGCTTGTGCCATAAATCCTTAAGATGGTCTTTAGCCATTTGTTTTTGCACAATATTCAAAAAAACTTGATATCGAGAATCTAAATATATAGATGTGTATATAACACTATTTTGCAAATATTGTTGCCGAATTTTTACATTTTCCAATATTTCGTATAAAAAGGACTGTAAATTTTTCTAAATCTAATCGGCATCTAATCCATATGCTTTAGAATCAAATAAACATAATTGTTTTGACTGTAATCTTAATATTGTTATTTTTAAAGGAACTAATACACTAGTAAGGTCCTTTATTTGGCACCAATCATCTTCCGACAATGACATTACAAGCTCCTATAATAAAATCATAACAGAAATCTTTCAAACTTAATAATCGTTCTAGCATCATATAAATTGAGGACCAACGTGTTGTGCATTATCATTTAAATTAAAATATTATTACTTGTACTACAAAATAATTCACTTTAAAAAATCAACGTATTTCTATAACATAACATATTAAAATTTACATAATAAAATATTATAACACTGGAAAATAATTTATGATATCAATCTCTAAATAAAATGGAAGTCCAGGAAGAATATTGAAAGAAAAACGCGAAGATAAAATAAATGATTCCACAAAAAAGTTAATAAAATTTTAAAAAATTTATACTTATTTTTTTTAAAAATATTTTTATTTTTAAAAATTTTAATGACACCAAGAACCCTTGGACACTCCCCTTTCAAAAAGGGTCCGGGTTCAGCCAAAATACGAGGGTTCAGGAGGATTCAGGGTCCGGGTTCACATCCCTGCTGACAAGATGTACCTGACAGATATTACAAAAATTCATTAACTGACAATTTTACCTGTTAGATATTACTTAATCTATTTTAATCATAAGTCACCTATCATCAAATAAGTTGATATGTCAGTCGTCGGACATAATATATTGATTTATTAAACAACGACCAATAATTATTAAACCATGTTTTTTATTATATATCAACCCTACCTCAAATCTGACGGCACTTTAACCAAATATCAAAACCTATGTTAGTTTGAGAAAAAAAGTTAAATATACTACAACATTAAACAGGACCGTCGGAAAACTTGTACAAATTATTTTACATGCCAGGGTAAAAAAAAATTTATGGGCCGGGTCAAAAAACCTTATCAAAAATATTGACGGGTAGTTTCTATTCATGGATTCAAGGACATAATTCCCAAGGCAAAAAAATTCCTTTAAAACGATATAAATCTTTGAGCCAGCCGATTTTTTTTACTGATTCTTAACGAACTAATTCTGATGTGTGGGCAGTTAGAATAATATACATATGAGGAGACTTTCTTAACCCTCTTCTGGCCAATTTTAAAAAATCGGTCTCATTCTCAAATATTTGGGACAAATCTCGGGCCATAAATGGTTAAAAGCTGGTCCAAATCTTGGTTTGTTGCCATCAAATGGAGTTGAGGGTGACAATAGGGTATAGAATAAGCTGCGATATATGGCTCAGCTTGCCTGTATTTTAAAGGGCGGTTTAGTCGTCAGAGAGCAATTAATTCGATAATCACAAAAAATTAGGGTTGGCTAACGATCTAAAACTCCTTGAACCCATTTACTTATGCCTGTCTAATGGGAAAAGGTAAAATGGCCTCATAAATATCGCTTGGTTTAGAGGAAAATATCTTATATGGGATTTCACCTGTCTCCCGTTCTCCTTAACCCAGGCATTGATCCGATTACAATAGCCGAAAGGTCGAATATCAGAAAGTATCATGATCTTTCAGATTTTCATATCATAACCATTGAGTCCTTAGCTCATAATTTTTTTCTGAAATCAATAAATAACATGTTTTTGTGTTTTTATGGGAATCAATGCTTAAATAAAATATAATAAATAAAAATATCTTAAAATTATTCTAAAGTAAATTTAATAATTAATTTTATTGTAATTAAAGCAAAATTAAAACGTAAATATAATAAATAGCTAACAAAAAATTAAAATAAATAAAAAATACCTTCTAAATTTCCTGAAGCAATTAAATTGGTTGCGATTAATTTTATAGAAGCATGAGAATCATTATCGGATTTGGATACAGAAGCAAAAAAAGCAGCTCTAATAAGTATGAATAATTGTATTAGAATTCTTTAGTATATTATATAGTGAAAATTTGATAAATATAGTGCAGTATAACAAAGTTCGTTTTTTTTGAAAAAAAATGAACAGAGTTCCTTTTATTTTTGATGAAATCTGAACGTGAAGGCATTGCTTTACTTTGATGAACGTATTCATTTTTAAGTTCACTCAATTTAAAAAAAATCCTTATTTTTATTCATTTGTAAATAAAAAAATATTAATCTGAATTATTTAAGAAAAATTTCCTTTATCAAATTTGATTTTTTAACCCGCCCCTGTCCTATAGCATAGTTGGTTAATTTGAATATTATTTATATTTTATAGATTAGCATAGTTTCAGAGATCTAAAACGAATATCGGTTCAGGTTCGGATAAAAATAACGGTTCAAATTCAGGTTCAATTCGTAAAAAATAAAAATATTGGTTAGGTGCAAATTTCTAAAAACCAGTGTGAACACTTTTATATTCAAACCTAAATTCGAATTATGCATTAGGAAGAATATTTTTTTATTATGATAGATGAATCAGACATTAAGAATATCTTATGAGGTGTGATTCACAAATTTACCTCTTTTCTCCTAAATTTTAATATTTTTATAAAATACATTAATAAAGTATATTTAGTACTATATAGTATATACACAAACTAACTAATAATTTTTATAAATTATTATTTAATTTAGAAATTTATATTTTCAATTTATATTGTAAACCTAAATCATCTGGTGTAAATTATTTAAAATGTCATCGCAAATGGATATCCAAATCGATGTGAGTCAGACAATGATATTAATGAAATGAAAGGCACCCTGGAAGAAAATGTTCTTGATAACAATAATACACATTTTCCATTTCCAAAATTTGAAAAATATTGTTAAATTAAGGTTGTTTAAAATGTAAAAAAAATATATCCTTAAATAAATCTGGTAGCTATAACTTTAAATAACACCTAAAGATAATTGTCATTTTTAAATTCTAATATTATTTAATTTACAAGAATGTTCATGCCAACAGTATTAAAGAGATAGAAAAACATCATAATAATTTTAGTATAAGGGAAACTACATCCAAAAAAACTATAATAATGCACAGCCAATATTTTTTAGATACTGGCTGATAAAGTCATTATCGATTTTATAATTGATACAGTTCAGCCAATGTCCTTGGTTAATCCATCATTTATCATGATGATTAAAACTCTATCCCCTGGTACAATAATTTTATGTTACCAGGCACTAATGATTAAGATAGCAGATAACTTTGAAGTGATGAAAGATGCTCTAATAGCAGAGTTATCACAGATATCCTATATATGTACCACGGCAGATTTGGACAGATAACAGAAGGTAAAAATTTATTTATTATTTATAAATTGATCTGATATTAATGTTTTTAGAGCTTATTTGGGAATCACAGGCCATTGGCTAGACCCTAAGACTTTAAAAGAAGATCTGTAGTATTAGCCTTCAAAAGGATAATAGGATGCCAGACATACGATGTACTTGCTAGTAAATTTTTATGATTCATCCAAATTTTAAACTTAACTGGCCATATATCAATTCTGATGATGCTAAAGATCAACGTGATAGGCTCATGGTAAAGCTGAATAGTCTCATATCAAACAAAGATGCCCTAGTTACAACCATAAAAACGACTCTCACTGAAAATTTTTTTGAAATAAAGGATACTAATATAATAGAAAATCCTCCAGACGCGTTTTTTAAATCAAAAAATACTCAAATTAGTATTTTTGATAATTTTTCTAGTGTTGTAAACAAACGCGTTCAAAATGAACGCGTTTGTGAACGAAGTTCGTTTTTTTGGAAAAAATGATGAACGGCGTTCCTTTAATTTTTGACGAACATTGAACGTGAACGCGTTTCTTTTTTATGATGCGCGTTCGAATTTAACGTTCGTTCAATTTTAAAATATTTTTATTTTTTTGAAATTAATATTTCCGAATTTTTAAAAAAATGTATTATTTATATGTTTTAATCGGCTGTGTATTTCCTTTTCACATTTCAATTTTTTTAACACATAGTTTTTTAATTTGAATATTATTGTTTATATTTAAATTTAATAGATTAGCATAAGCATGGATATTAATATTTAATCCTCATCATCTGATTCTGAAAATCCAAAATCAGATGAATTATCATTACTATGAATGTTCTTTCTTTCTTTCTCCTTAACATCCTATATTGAAGGAACTAATCCAATCAGTGGCGTAGCTATGAATTTTTTTAGAGGGGGTCCATACATATAAAAGCTGGGGAGCTTCGCCCACCAGACCCCCTTTAACGGGTCTTCGGCCCTTTTGACCGGCCTTCGGCCGAGTTTATCTTACAAATCATAACCATATCTTCGATAATATATAACAAATATATTTTTTTAAATGCATCAATAATGTTATTATAATTTAGTAGATTATTCTCAATGACTTTATAATAATACTATCCAGAATAATTTTAATAGTAATATAATATCCTTCGACAAACATCAAAACCAGAAAAATAAAATAGATATAAAATCACTTTTAAGTCTTTTGAACGTATAATCTAAAAATAATTTTTGCTCTGGGAGGGGTCCAAACCCGAAAACCACCCCCGTAGCTACGCCACTGAATCCAATGCTTACCAAGTGTAAAATGTGGCCAAAAAGTATTATATTGTCAAAATGTTCAGATTCCAATTTAAAAAGAAATTTGATTGTATTATTAATTATTTGATTTTATATAATATAACTAATTAAAATCATTAAATTTGAAAAAATAATGCATTTGGGATATTTGACTCCAACAATAACTATAGTTATTTTAAAATTAAAAAAAAATAGTGGCCTCAAATATGGTCAACCATTGATAGACGCCGTATTAAATAGGATTAATAAAAGGTATTAAACCTATCACTCTCAATTAATTACATATATTTTATTTTTTTAAAGATTTGAACATATATATAGGGATCAATATGTTCTTTCTGCAATTATACATCCAGCATTCAAAATTCAATGGCCATGGATTAAACTTCCACAGAACGAACCTATTAAAAATAAACTTATAGCGTTATTGAAAAAATGCTTTGAAAAACCTAGAGAACTGTTAATTTCGAGATATTCTTTTTTTTGTCGAGAGTATAGAATGGATTGGAGGAGGATAACTTATCTCAATTTTTTGCAAATAACAAAACAATATGTTTTTAATTAATTCTCCACGTTAAAAAGCTGTTTATTAAGTATAATACCGCAATCCCCTCATCTGCCCCTATAGAGCGCGATTTTAGTATAGCTAATGCCGTATTAACTGCCTAGTGTTCCTGTCTATCAAATAAATATTTTGAAAACAATTGTTATTAAAATTTAATAAGAAAATTTTTTTATAAAATATCTTTTTATTAGCTATATTATATTATATTATATTTTATTTATAATTATATTATCAAAATAAAACTATATTATATTTTAACATGGCTAAAATATAGTATTAAAAAATATAAGTTAATTATATTTAATTAAATTTAAAAAAAATTTATCATAAAATTTTGAAAGGTTTTATGAACGTGAACGAGTTCGTGAACGCGTTTCTTTTTTTTGAACATGAACTTGAACGTGTTCGATTTTTGTCAATGAACGTTGAACGCGTTCGATTTTTTTAAAAATGTTTACAGCACTAAAAATATGTATATAAAATTAAATACTGCATTGCCCTCAAGTGCTAGTGTTGAGAGATTATTTAGTTAGGCGAAACTTATACTTTCTGATCGTAACTCTAGACGGAATGATAGTATAGAAATGATTTTATTATCAAAATACAAATAAATAAAAATTGAATATTACCATAAATAGTTATTTTTATTACATAAATTATAGACTTTTTACATAAATTTTTATAATCAAAACTAACTATATTTAAATATTTATAAATGTTAATTTTTATGTATTATTATAAGCAAAAAATAAAACAAATTTATTTCTAAATTTTTTTTGCAAAAAGTAGCCAAAGCTACTTTTAAAAAATAGTAGCTAATGGCGGGCGCTAATTTTTTTGATGGGTAGTGATAGCGGTAGCGTGCTACTTTTAAAAGTAGGGTTTAACAACTCTGACATTTAGTAATATCATTTTGATGTGCCATTTATAATACTATATAAATGTGATTGATAATAATCCTAAAAACAATTCGAATATAATTAAAATTAATAAAAGTTTTATATGAGAATGTTTAAAAACACAAGCTAGCATAAATGCTTTGATTTTTATTTTTTATATGAGAATGTTTAAAAACACAAGCTAGCATAAATGCTTTGATTTTTATTTTTTATATGAGGCCGTTAAAAATTCTCTCCTCGTTTAAATAAAAATAATATTTTAAAAAAAGTTTTATATGAGATGTTGAAAAATATAAGCTCGCATAAATCCTTTGATCTTTGTTTTTATACGAGCTGGTGCACTATGGATTAGCAACCACGTGGATGTTATTTCATTTTCATCATCTGATTCTGAATTAAATGAATTAACATTACCATGACCCAAATAATTCAGAAATATACTATATTCTAGGAACGAATTCTAACCATACCAAGTAAAATATGTCCAAAAAGTTTTTAGTTTCAAAATCTTCAAATTCTAATTTAAAGAGCTACTTGATTGTAATCAGAGACCTGCAGACCAGGCTCTAAGCCGGGGCCGGGCTTGAAAATTTTTTTTTAAAAATACCCGGGCTGGGCCGTAAAATTTTTTTAAAAAATTTATACAACAAGAATTATTATATTCGTCAATTAGGTATGGTTATAATGATTAAATACAGTTATGATTAATATAATGTTGGGTGAAAGTTAACAATAGCTAGAACTCATAGTATCTATTACTTAATATAATTATAGTTTTCCTGCCATGGAATAATATGCAAAGGTTAATAGGTAATAAATACATTATTATTTAATATATGTTATATTTTTTATTAATTAAAATATCAGTTTTATTT